CTCAAAAAAAAAAATTGTTTACTATTATTATTTTCCAGTTTGATCAGAGAAAGAGAGAGGGAAAGTGAGAAAGCAAGCCACCAGGTATGGGACTCGAACTGCAGTTGGCCACATGGGAGTCCAGTGCTCTTAACCACCACACCATCTGCCAGCCCCAGAGAGAGATTTTTGCTATAGGGCACATGTGCCCGATATATAGAGACAGCCAGAAAGCCAGTCCCTCAGGGGAGATGGCTATGCCACACCCCTTCTCCTCCATTCTCCTCTTGGGATCTTGGGCACACACACACAGGAGTCTCGAGTGAGCTTTAAGCCCTGGGTTGGGGACTCCAACCACAGTTGACTACATGGGAGTCTAACAATGTAAATGTTCCGCCATCTGCTGGTCCGGAAAAGTTCTCTCTCTGAAATGAAAGATACTACCTTCAAAAAGGTGAATAAAGGCTGACTAGTTCAAGTCAGGAACCCAGACCTGAGGTTTCCAAGGCCCTTTTATTGGGGAAGATCCCCTTTGTAGCATAAGACTTCACAAATGTATTGACAACCAGATTGGTTCTTAAAAAGTAGGGGGAGAGGGAAAAACAAAACAGATATGCCTTTCTTATATATATTGGACATAAACTAGAAGAACTTAGAAAACAGTCACCTTCTTACAGAACAAATGCAGACTGCACTGGGAATGCACCTCCAGGTTTGGCTGTTTTGTCTCAGTTTCCAATAATAAATAAATAAACGTTCGTAAGTTCTGGGCCCACCGTGGTGTGGCGCGACTCTGAGCCATCACGGGGCTTTCTTCCCGGGGCTGTTCCTGGGCACGGCGTGGGGGCTGACAGGGGTTCCCGGCTTCACTGGCCCCACAAGGTGTGTGCTGTCCTTTCGGGGTGGCATTCGCTCATTAATTCGGTCCAGACCTCGGGCTTCTTCAAAACTCCGGATCTTGTGCTGATGTGAAAACCCTCGGATGGCTACAGAAAAACAGGAGAGGGGGTGGGGAGTGCTCGGTTAGCAAAGCCGCTTGCCTAACCCGGCCCTTAGCACACGGCCAGCTCCTGAGAAATGCGGCAGCGAGCAGGCACGTTCTGGCGAGGGCAACAGCAGCACTGGACCGAGCCTGCCTTTCTGAAGTTACCGCTTCCTTCAGGCCCGAGGGTAACTCAAGCGGGGAAAGGAGTTTCCGTAAAAGCTCGAGGAGAAACCCGGCGGGAAGCTGGCACGTTCTTAACGCCCATCCACCGAGGACCTGTACACTGGGGAAAGGATTCTCAGGGACCGAAGCGTGCAGAATGCCAGGAAGAAAAGGCGACACTGAATGGCAGGGCAGGCGACAGACGGAGCAGCTGCAGTGAGCAGAGAGCAGTGACCGCGGAGACTACAAAAAGTTACGCAAGAACGAATCTTTCGGTTCAGGACAGATTTTTATGTTGCACAACCAGGAATTGATCTTTACTTCATCAAAATGGTTTCCAGAGCGCGTCCTCTGTTCACCAAGGAGAGGTTAAATTCCACTCAAACACCGTACCTAATGCAGTAATGGGACGTAGGACGCGGTGGTCTCCACCCCAGTCATAGCTGGTGTTACTCAGAATATGCTTCCACAGAAACCAAGGTAGTTTAGCTCGACTGCCTTGGGGCAACCTCCAAAAACGAGCCAGGCTACAGGCCAGACCGCCGCGCCC